GACTGCTTTCCCTTATTACTATTATCGGCAACATCTTGGTCATGGTGTCGTTTAAGGTCAACCGCCAGCTCAAAACGGTTAACAATTACTTCCTACTCAGTTTAGCCGTGGCAGATCTCATCATTGGGGTCATCTCTATGAACCTGTACACTGCCTACATTGTCATGGGCCAGTGGGCAATGGGACACTGGGCGTGCGACCTCTGGCTAGCAATAGACTACGTAGCCAGCAATGCATCCGTCATGAATCTGCTGGTCATTAGCTTTGACCGGTATTTCTCCATCACAAGGCCTCTGACGTACCGTGCCAAACGTACCACCAGGCGGGCAGGAGTGATGATTGGCCTGGCATGGTTTGTGTCGCTCATACTTTGGGCTCCTGCCATTTTGTTCTGGCAGTATTTTGTAGGAGAAAGAACCGTTCCGCTGGATAAATGCTACATTCAATTTCTCTCAGAGCCCATTATTACATTTTGCACCGCGATGGCGGCTTTCTACCTGCCGGTGACGATAATGAGTGTTCTGTATTGGCGAATATACAAAGAGACAGAGAACCGTTCTCGGGAACTTGCAGGATTACAAGGCTCGGTTGGAAGGTTCGGAGGTGTCGAGCGGCCGCACTTCCACCTCCACGCCACTGGGGGGAGCTCTAGAAGCTGCAGCAGCTTCGAACTGGGCCAACCTGGCCACAAACAAAGCTCCGTTCATGGCCTGAGTGGGCGATTCCACTGCTGGGGGTGGAAGGCGGGTGGCAGGGATAAAGGTGGGCCGCACCGGGAGGCGGATCAGAGCAGCAGCGACAGCTGGAACAACAACGACGCTGGACTGTCAGCCGACCACTCGGGCTCATCTGACGATGATGAGAGCGCGCCATCCACCACGCGGGCGATCTTCTCCATCGTTCTCAGTCTGCCTGGCATGAGGGCAGCTGTAAACTCCCAGGTCACTTCTTGTGAGGATCTCACTGAGGAAGATCCATTACGGTCCCCTGTGGAGAACGATGGCAGGGATGGCAGCATCTCCTGCTCCGTCACCAATGGGAACAAGCGGTTTGTCGGAAGCATGAGTAAAGTTCAGTCAATGTCCGCCATACAGCCATCAACGGATCCAAACATTGATGGCACCAACACCACCGTCAAATCCCCCTCAGCGCCCATAACTTTCAAAGAGGCAGCTCTAGCAAAACGTTTCGCAGCTCGCGCAAGAACGCAAATCACCAAGCGGAAGCGTATGTCGCTAATAAAAGAAAAGAAAGCGGCGCAAACTCTAAGCGCCATCCTTTTTGCTTTCATTATTACATGGACGCCTTATAACATCATGGTGCTAGTAAACACTTTCTGTAATGGCTGCATACCTGAGAACCTCTGGGCACTAGGCTATTGGCTATGCTACGTTAACAGTACAGTAAATCCTATGTGCTACGCCCTTTGCAACAAAACTTTTCGTAGCACTTTCAAGATGATCCTGCTTTGTCGCTGGGATCAGAAAAAAAGCAAGCCAAGCTTTCCACAAAGACAGGCTGTGAGGTTTCACAGGAGCATACCGACAGACTCCACATAGCAACCTGGTGGCGAAGCTAATTTGCTAATGCTAAAATGTAAGTTTCAAGGGGTGATTCCTCAAGTATCTGTACTATATAATGAAGCTTTAATGTCTCAATGTGGATGTGTAGTTCAGTCACTTATGATTCCGGGTCACTAGATTGTAACATTTTAAGACACTGTGGATTAGTGTACAAAGAGCTTCAGTGATACTGAAGCACAACTGAGCAAGTGCAATTGCCATCAGTACTTCCTGTGGACTTTTATATGCCTTTTACTAAATCAGCAGTGCCACCTTTCAGGAGTTCAGCAGTGACATATAAAAAGTAAATTTGAAAGGAGACTGTATTTTGAACCTCAGAGAGCTGATCGGATGTGATGCTCTCAATTACTTGTTTGAATATTTTGGCGTTGAATATTAAATATCTCATTTTTGTCAGTGAACAGAAACTAAAATGTGATTTTTAAATAAGGTGATGTATATCAAAGTATTTACGGTGAAGATATTTCTTTTTCTAAGTGGAATTTGCTGATTTCTGTGAAAGCGTGCCACACAGAGGTTCAGTATCTTTGCTGTGTCGGTAAGTGTAAGTGTTCTATTCATAAAAAGCACTTCCGTAAGCTGCTCTTGTATAAAGCGTGGTTGTTTACATTTGTTTTGCTACAAGTATTTTAATAGCTATTATGTAGGTTTTCAGTGCACATTGAATATGTTTGTATACTTTGGAATGCCTTATGTTTGGACTTTGAGATTGTGCACTGAATATACTGGGCTAGCTGTGAAATCATTTATGAAACCTAAATAATGTTTTAACTGTTTAATGGACATTCAGATTTTGACATTAGTACGTTGGAACGTAATTCCATTTACAGCCAAACTGCTTGCTGTCACCACCACATTTGGGAATGCCAGGCTTTAACATAACAAGCCAATTTAGTTTCCTAAAGCAGCTGCAGATTTGCTTCATAAAAAGCACACAAAATACAGACCTATCAATCAGACATGCGTCTTTCTTCAACTATGGGCTCCTTTGGCACTGTGGAGAAATTAAAATCACTTAAAACACACTTTTTCCCACAGAGTTTATTTAATTTGCCTACTAACAATGTCCAACAGTGGTCATATTTCTAAAACATCATGTATATGTGTGATTTCCATCACATCTCAAATTATGTATTTAATAACAATAATAAAGTTTATTAAAGGCAGAGTAAGGGATTTCTGGTAGCCAATGTTTATATTTGAAATCACCAAAACAAACACGCCCCTACCCCAAAAGGGTCATGCCCCTATTTTGATAGCTCCGCCCCACACATACGTACGCAACCCAGTGCGCTCTCCTCCACATCATGAGTAGACACGCCCCTTATTGCTGATTGGCTACAAGTTTGTTTTGCGATTCGGCCCGAATCAGTTTTTAAAGCGTTTTTGAAAAATCACTTACTCTGCCTTTAACATTCTGTGATGGAAATGGCATTTTAAACATTTATGGAATAAATGGCCTACTCCCTTTTCATGCTAAAGCTAATTTCATAGCATTTTCTGGATCCTAAAAACACACGATTAAATGACATTCTTCACAAAAATTAAAGCTTGATTGGAAATTACACAAATTTTACACTTGCCATTCAGTTCCAACCCTAGTGTTTTGAAGAAATATGAATGATTGCCTGATTTGTAACTTACCCGCCATTTGTATTAGAGTAAAGAAACTTTTTGATATGTTTTTATGTTTTACATTGCAAACAATGGCTGTATGTTAAGCTGTAAGCTGTAAGGCCTTGTAAGATCAAAGTTAAAATTGAGCTTCTGTGCATTGTGTTGTTTGTGGCTGTGCTCTCGTTTTGTTCCAAATTGGCTGTGTACAAGTTAAAGTTAAATGATAGAGTTACTGTCTGATTTGTGATAACTGTTGAATGTTACAAAAATACAGCCCAGTACAAAATGCATTTTTATCCTCAGATTGTTTCTCAAAATAAATGTAACATTTTAAAATGAATCGGTGCTCTTTTTAAATACACAACATGTTTGTGGAAACTTGCTTGTTGGTTTGTTTTAAGTCATAAAGCCCTAACGCTGTGTGTGTATGAAAGAAGATGCATCAATTGCTATTGGCGGCATATAGTAGGAAGAGAAGTCATGTGATGACAGCATTCATGTGATCGAGGAAGAGGAGCAGCCCAGCGAATGTCACAAACACTTACTTGTTCCCTCAATTTACTAGAGACTCCATCCAGGCAAGTAGGCACTTTATTTCCGAACTTTTCTCTTTATGTTTTCTGTCTTGTTTGACAGGTCTCCTGTTCATTCTTGATCCAGGTCAGATCAATTTGGATTAGCAGTGACCTTCTAGACTAATCATACAGCAGTAAATCAGACCTCTTACACAACTGAGTGATGTGAGGAATAGAGAGATGTATCTGTATGTGACAAGACATCAGTAGTTTCATGCCTTGAGGAAAGCATTTCATTTGTAATGAAGGTCATGTTGAACTTGTTCTAAATTAATGCAGGAATCTTTTCTAGATATTTTGAAATTATCTGCTCTTCCATAGACTTAACTGTATGGTTCTGAAATTTAGTTTAGTACTAATCTTTTATTGATATAAAAATGTCATTTCTGTAGGCATCGATATCTGTGTACTGGATTAAAATGAATATTGTATAAATCGGTTGAAAGCTCACAGGTGTGTGTCTAATGCCACAAGGCTGGAGGATAACTCTGATTTCAGGCCTGCTGGCCACAGGCGTACATCAGTTTATGAGATCAGTCCATAAGCTCACATGACGCTGCACTGGTACACTGTGTCTGTCTCTCTCTCACACACACACACACACACACACACAGAGAGAGAGAGAGAGAGAAATTCCTGTGCTATTTTCAGATGTTCCGTGTGCAGGATTGGATAGAAAAGGGGTAAAAAAAAAAATTCTTAATTTTGTTACCTTCTTACCTTGTTACCTTCTTATCTTAAATCTTAATTACTCACCTTCATGTTGTTCCAAACCCGTGAGAATTTTGTTCATCTTCGGAACTCAATTAAGATATTTTTGATGAAATTCGAGAGCTTTCTGACGCTGCACAGAGAGCAACACAACTGACATGTTCAAGACCCAGAAAGGTAGTAAGGACATTGTTAAATGCTCTGTGCCTTGTATACAAGCAGAGAAATTAACACGTGTGGGTCGTTGTGTCTCAATTTCTCAAACTCAAGAAATTTTTGAATAAAGTCATTCTTTTTGGAAGTAACAAGTAACACCTAATTTACTTTCCTATTGCAAAACAAACAGAAAAGGTAACCAACTTTTTGCTTTCCATAAAAAGTTAGCTTGTTTGGAGTGTAATGCAATAATATAATATGTAATTTAGAAATAATTCTGCTCCTAATTCTGTTCTTTATTTAGCTAAGTTTTAATCAGTTTGTGTCCTCCTCTCAGGTCAGTATAGCAAGAATCAAGATGCAAACCATTCAGACAATAGAGATGCAGTTACCTGTCCTGCGAGAGAGTTTCCACTCCTCTCCCTTCAGAGAGAGAGTGAAAGAACGGAGGAAGAGCAGCCTGACAAATCTCATTAGAAGACAACAGCAACAGTTATTACTCCAGCAACAACAATCAGAATTACATCAGAAGCAACAGCTGTTCTCACCCTCACAGGGCCACACTGCACATGCTCAGTTGGTCCGCTCTTCCAGCAGCCCGTTATGTGACTTGGCAGAGCAAATAGATGAGCAAGAGAAAGTGAAAGAGATTGGGAGGCAGGGGGAGCTGTCTCTCAGACAGTCCTCGGCTACGGCGTCACAGCCTGCATCATCAAAGCAGCTGCTGCCGACGGTGAAGAGAGCGAGAGAGGGATTAGAGAGGGAGAGGGAGAAAGTGCAAGGGAGCGTGGAGAGGGAGAGAGGAGAGAAGAGAGAGCAGCACAGAGAACGAGAAAGTCAGTCCTTTCACACGCGTTCCCAGCATGGCCTGATCGCTAAAGGTGTTCGCCTTCTGAGGAACATGGGAAACCAGGAGGCCAAGCAGAAGAAGACCACTGTCACTACAGGAGTGGAAGGTGCTGGGAATGGGGCGAGCACCGAGGACCGAGACCATGAACATCTCAAGAAGATTAAGAAAAGTAAATTGTCGGGCGACTCGGGCAAGAAGAAATCCAAATCGGAAGGCTCCAGAGGTTCTGTATTTTCCAACATCCGTATCAGAAAGGGCCTCTCCCGGAAAGGGTTGTCCAAAGAGGATGTACTGGATGATGGGATTAGGATTAAGAGCATGGATGCTAACGACAGCAGCAATGGTGGAATATCGGGTGATGAGCTGGAGGGTCTCACGCCTGATAGTAAGCAACTCACGGCTGAAAGCAGGCAGTCAACTCTGGACACGACAGAAGATGATGCTGAGAGAGAGACTGAGGGATCAGGGTCAGATACAGATCTTTGCAGCTACCACTCAGCCGCCGAGGCCCAAGATCTGCTGTTGGATATCCAGAGGACTATCAGACAACAGCAGCAGATGGAGGGAGTTTCTGAGGGGCAAAACTGTAGTGGACAAGTAGGGTCTGAAGGCCAGACTGAGGTCACTCAGGGTCTTACTTGTAGTAGCCTTGCTTGTATTGGCGAACCAGAGAAGGTAAAAGGTGTATCTGCATCTGACAGCAAAGAACAAGATCTTAAATATAGTGGGGATACAGTAGAAGGGGTGATTACAACAACACTAAAGGCAGAATCAGGTGGCGAAGTGACTGATGTTGCAAATAAAGCTGAACGTTTGAGCAATTTGGCCATTGACTATTGCATTCAGGATAGTATCACTGACACAAGTAGTGTCCAGGATACAATATCTGTTACCAAATCAACCAGTAACTACAGTTTTCAGGATACTACAGCAACATCCACCTCCTATGAGAGTGCCGAGGAGATCCTGGAGAGTTCATCTCTATCGTCTCCTCTTGAAGAGTGTCATTACGGTAGCAATAGCCTGACTCAAAGCCTAGAAATCGGTCTCAATTCAAGAAATCAGACCAGCTCAATGTCCAAAATCAGCCGGATAATTTTCATCCCACAGAAGAGCATTAGTAGTGTAGAGCTGAACATAGAGGGTGATGGTCATGTAGAGGAGGTAGATCGAGAGTATTCCCACCAACAGAGAAGGAAAAGCAGTGCCGCGTCCATCACACAGTGGTCATCTGAGAACTTTTTAGGCTTGGGGTCACGACCACGTAGAACTTCCAGCGCTAACCTCAGGGTTAAACCTTATCCTACAGTACACACTTCTTACGTTAAAACGACCACCAGACAGCTCACATCACCTATAATATCTCCATTGACCACTCCGTCCCTAAGTCCAATGTGTCCTCGCAGGGTCGGCTTAGAGTTGGGATCAAGTCAGGGGTCATACAGAGCAGGAAGCTGGAGAGCACGGAGACAACGGTCCTGTAGCATTGCAGGTCCGGTGGGTTGTCATGAAGAATGGTGTGAAGCCATTCATGATCAATCAGAGCTTATTGATCATGGCTTCCAAACCCTCAGATGCAGGCAAACGCCATCCGCCTTTCCAGATGTGTTTTCAGGTAAGTCATTGTGTGTTTTGATTGATTTAATATCAATGTTCACACTTATAATCAAAAAGACCTGATGTCCAGACCAACAAAAAGATGCTGGAACATATCTTGGCAACACATACTCACTGTCACAGAAGTTCATAATTTTAAATGACTGATTCCATGAACTTTTAAGATGTGTAATTCCATGTCATAAGAGTTGGTTGCCAAGACATGGTATAAATCCCTTGTATTATTTTTCCATTCTTTAATCTGGTTCACTACCCTCAAAGTTTAGTGAGCAGTCAAAAAACATAAAATCTGGCTCTGAAAAATGCACACTGCACACATACCCACAATCCCACAGAAACACACACAGACACACGTTAGCTACTGGCTAAGAAAGCTCTGGCTTCTGCCTCACTGAATCAGAGTGCCACAGGAAGTCACTCAAATACACACTCATACAAAAGGACACACTGTTTTTTTTAAGTGGTGATGCATAGTGACTGCTCCTGACAATGAAGGTTACAGCAGGACAAATCAGATACGAAGGAATAGAAAAAGATAAAAAAGGAGGGCCCCACTTTATATTAAGTGGCCTTAACTACTATGTACTTACATCAAAAATTAAGTACAATGTAATAGTGGGTCCAAAAAGAGATATGGAGACTATTGGGGGCTATTGGGGTCCTGCCTTGATATGAAGCTAGCATCCATATCTAAATGTGTTTACAAAGCCTTGAAGACACTGAAGCATCAAATGCTTATTCAGCCAAAGGTTAAATGTCTTTGAAACGCAAAGGCACATTTGTGCTCTGAATATCTAGCTAAAATAATAGTATGTGTGGTTATATAGTTGTTTTTATGCTTTCTGATTAACACTAAAGGTGTTGTGTATTACAAACAACTTCCTGTTTAAACTGACTCCTAGACATATTAATTTGCATCAAGTTATTTGCATGCTGTTTTTATATAGTGCATGCATTTACTTGATGCTTCAAATAAAACTCTTGAATGGTTGAAAGTAAAAACTTGATCAAATTCAACAATTAGTTATTCCTGCAAGCATTAGCAAGCTGCTAACTTTATTTCTAGGTCAAATGAATCTGAGACAGTTGTGAGCTGAGCAAGCATAAAGCTATTTATTAGTCATTTTACATCCAAATTCAGACAGCACATGACAGAGTATGTAATAAGAAAATTAGAGTCATGTTTTGTAGGAAGAGTTTTTTTTCTCATCGATGTTACACAGAAATTGGCCTATTTACCAGGCTATGATGAAGACTCAGGATGAGCTATTGAGTTTGTGTCCATTTGATAAATGAGAGAGAGGAAGTTCAAGAGTATGCATGCTTGGGGTGGAGAAATAATTCTTTCAGAAACGTGCACACACATACACATCAGTTGACCAAATGAAAAGGCTCTACTTGATTCAGATGTGAAATGAATTATGAAGACAAAAGCTCCATAATTTCCACTTTATTCGTTTTCTGGTTCGAAGCATCACTGCCCCCAGACACTCAGTCAGGTCAGAGAAAAAAAAAGGATTTAGTGAGAAGTACATATACTGCAGCACAGAAGACCTCAGCAGTCATATACAAATGCAGCATTTTCACCTTCTATATTGCTTTGAATTTGAATCTTTTCAATTTCACTCTCTTACAGGTCGCTCTCTGTTCGAGAGGTGTCTAGTACAGTGGGGTTGTTCTGAAGATGACAGTGCTGCACAGGATGTTGAGAGATTCTGTTCCCATATTCTGGCTTTGGGGATTCTACAGCCTTTCAGTGACTGCATCAGGGAACCACCCACAGGAAGTGATGTTACAGATAAGCCCATTTTCAATGTATGACCATCAAAATTTTGTCTCTTTCATATTTTATCATGCACGACTTCACAAAATCATCATTTTTTTAAAATTAAAGCATCTGAGGAATTTATTTTATGACACTAAATTATCTTACAGTATATAGGGATAGTTCAACCCAAAATGATCATTCTGTCATCATTTACTCATCCTCATGTTGTTCCGAACCTGTGTGAATTTCTTTCTTCTGTTGAACACAAAAGAAGATATTTTGAAGAATGCTTGTAACCAAACGGTTGCTGGTAGCCATTGATTTCCATGTAATTTTTTTTCTTTATACTGTGGAAGTCAATGGCTACCAGCAATTGTTTGGTTACCCTTAAGATTCCAGATAACTTGCTAAAGTTTGCATGAGATGACATCAATCATGGGATCTTGAACTTTCTGTAATGAAACATAAACCACATTGAAATGCAGTTTTCAAGTGTACCAGATGTCTTTTAAGACCAATGTGTTTTCCAAATGTTGAAAATGACTAAAATCAAATAAATTAGTCTGTATGATTGAACATTTCAATCATACATTATTTAAATTAATATGATTGTCTATCAGACATATACACACTGGTTATAATGCAAAAAATTTGAATCCATACATAATCAGCACAGTTTTTAAGTCTTTAAGCTCAGCACTAAATTGCACGAGGAAGAAACAGAAAAGCTGTTGATGAGTGTTACTAAAAATGTGCCAGATTTCACACATTTTATATCACTTTGTTGAACAACCCACAGAGTTGACTCTGCCTGAGCAGATGTGAGATGAGCTCAGCAGCAGGGTAACTTTGTGCTGTTGTTTGAGACAGAGGAAGAGATGCACATTATGTATTTATTATCTCACGCATGAGAAAATTGTGAGATTTTGAGATTATTCTGCTACAACACACAAGGCATGTTGTGATGCAGTATGTTAGAGTGATATGCTAAAACATGCAACAATTTCATGTTTTTGTGCTCAGCCCAATGTGACCTGAATAGAAGGACTCTTTCTCTTTTTCTCTTTTGCTTCACCGGCCAAAGCAGATTTGTGTCTGCACAGATAAACATTTAACACTGCTTCTGCGACTTGCCCTTGCCCCTTTCTACGTCATCACACACATACACACTTAACCTGCTTTAGCAGTGTGAACAAACATATTCATGTTGTGTGAGTGTACAGTATATTTATAGACCAAGTACAGCACACTTTCACAAACACATGTAAATATGTGTATCGGGTGCTTAGGCACGCTTAAATGGACACATCTGCACGCATAAGCCATCTGACCGGGTTACGTAAGATGGGTCACATGCCCTCTGGTGCTGCTCCATCTGTGTATTCTTCTCTGTATGTAGCAAAGATCAGATTCATTATCCATTTCTATCCAGATATATGTATATTTTATTCCTATATGGTTTTTTTAGTGTCTATATTTTGCTGTTACCTATCTACAGTATATGACATTGGAGTCATATAATTCTCATTAAAGGGATAGTTCACCCAAAATGGAAATGTCGTTCCAAACCTGTAAGACCTTCGTTCATCTTCTGAACACAAATTAAGATATTTTTGATGAAATCTGAGAGCTTTCTGACCCTTCATAGACAGCAATACAACTGACATGTTCAAGACCCAGAAAGGTAGTAAGGACATCATTAAAATAGTCCATGAGTCAACCGTGTCAGTTGCATTGCTGTCTATGCAGGGTCAGAAAGCTCTCAGATTTCATCAAAAATATTTTAATATGTGTTCCGAAGATGAACAAAGGTCTTATGGGTTTGGAACGACATGAGGGCAAGTAATTAATGACATAATTTTAATTTTTATGTGAACTATCCCTTTAAGCATCATTCACAATGAAGATTTGAATTTGAATGAAGTGAAAATATCATTCTGTCCCAAAGTATTATTCCAAAGATGCTTAAATTCACAAAACACTCTTCTGGTCATTAGTTTAATCACCACTCTTTATTATTATTATTATTCTTATCCTAGAGCAATTTTATTTCTCTGAATCTGTTCAGACAAGTGTTTCTCTTGACCCTCGTCCAATCAGCAGTCATAATGTTTTAAAAAGGACAAAACAGCACAATAAAGGCATCATTAAAATATTCTCTATTACTTGTGCACTCTATTCCAAGTCTTCTGAAGTCATATGATAGCTTTGTGTGAGGAACAGACTACAATTTAAGTTTAATTTAAATCTTGCTATTACCATTCAGTTTCATTGTATGGCAAAGAGCAGCTTGGACATTCAAACAGGTTTCTAAAGGCATCAGTTGTGAGTGAATGATGACAGAATCTTCATTTCTGGGTGAACTATCCCTTTAACAAACACTGCTGCTAAGTGACTGAAATAACTTCACAATAACCCTGTTGTGCTGGTAGATAGCAGAGCATGACTTAATACTGTGATTTCACTGGCGGTGATTTCAAGAGGACAGCATAATGGCAGCATTATTGCCACTATTCACTTTGCCACATATCTTGACTGTTGTCTAGAGACAGATTTCATCATTTTGTTCAAATATTTGTCACAGACACACAGGTATGATGTAATAAATGCTGGTCTCTTAGCCAGTAACAATGTTTGTGTGTCAGAGCAGAAGTTCATATTGGTGTTTTGAATAGGGGCAGACTGATGATTGACAGGTAGAGCCATTAACAGAGTATACTGTATATCACACTGTATGAACACATATATACAGATGCACTCAGATATACACATTTTGCATGTAAAAAACTATAATTTTTGTTAATTTACAATAATGTATTAACCAGGAAAATGTGTACTGTGTAACAGTCAAACCTGTTATATCCAGCTTGTAAGGTTTACCTTTAAATGTTGTACAGTCATGCAGTGCAACTCTGCAGCAGGTTCACTGCATGCTTACGCAAACCCCCACTGATGTGAATGGACAGCCTCGGGGACAGCCTTTCAATCTGTATGTGTGAACATGCTGGCAGTGTCAGCAAGACAAAATGCTATGTATTCTTTCTGCTCTGGTCAGTGGCGCTGTTGTTCTCTCAGTCTGCCAGCAGAGGTCGTCCTTCACACAGCGCTGCCACAGAATGCTACATTTTTCTTACTGTCTAATCAGAAAAGCAGCCCCAGGAACAGAAGACTAATTTTAGATTCTTGTATGCAGTTTAAAACATTTCTTGCCATAATCAGCTGTTTTAATTCCAGCTCTCTGTTTCTTTCACACATACAGAAGGAGCAGCTGTATACCTGGGCTCCAATGGGACAGAATGAGATCAGAACACCTGGGCGGCTCCAAACAATGTGGCCTCCGAGTCCGTCCCCCACTGCTGCACAGCTGCAAGTATGTGAACAAATATAGTTTTATATGTCCAAAGAAGGAACTGATATACTATTATTGCCATTTTTATGATATCTGATGTATATCATGGTACTGAATGATTGCCATATATATGGTAGTTCTAAGAAAACCATGGAATCTTACATTTAGAAAAATATGGTGCTATGTCCAAAGTTAATATCATCCTTACTAAACATCTTGGAATTATCATGAAGTATTATGTAAATACCACGGTACGTGAATTTCAGCACTATGGTTTATCTCAAAGTACCCTATTATTACCATCTAATACTGTACCATCACTTTACCATGGTGACACCCTAGTGCCTTTTATACAGTGTGGGTAACAAAAACTTCCCGTGCTAGTACCATTATTTAGGCATTTTGATGGTATTATATTTTTGAACATGGTACCATGTTAATACTGTGTTTTTGGAAATGTTATATGATAAAATGATGGTATTTATTTAAAGTATATTGGATTACCATTTAAAATTTATAGTGTATGAATATGGTAATCATTCAGTACCATGCTAAATATCAACTTCAAAATGTATAATACCATGTTTTTGGAAATTTTGATGGTACTATGTTTTTTGAACATGGTGGCATGGTAGCCTAATAATACCATGTTTTTTTACATGTAATATGGTAAAATCATGTTATTATTTGAAGTACCTTGCAGTACAATGTGAAAACCATTGTGTATGAATATGGTAATTATTCAGTACCATGTTAAATACCTTGGTATTACCATCTGATTTCATTGCTGTACCCGTGTAAATTTTTATTAGACCTGTGTGTAATCAAACATGCATTTGCTTTTCTGTATCGTCCATGAATGTGCATGTTTGTGAGTGTAAACCCTTAGCTAGTTTTAAATCATTCTCCATCAGGTTCAACACCCTTACATTGCTAAGAAAGTATTTTAGCACCTAACAAGCCATACATCTCTTTAGCGTTGCTATGAGACCTTCAGTAAACAGCATCCTAACAGCATTTAACTTGATCTAAACATCTGTCCAGCAGGCGCAGTGCCTGCCATTGCGTTTTAAGATCCACCATGTTTGAATTCTGAATTGATAAATGGCCACTTGCATTCCAATGTTCAAAGCACACACGCAACACCTTATGTTACAGCTTATTCCTCATGTTTCTGATAGGAATATTCTTTAATGTGATTCAGAATGCAGACGTCTTCGCAATTGGAACTGGCTTTACTGCCCTCTAGTTCTTGTGTTGACATTTTTGCAGAACATGTCTTTTTTACAGTGGTACTTGTAGTATTTAACATATATTATGGCCTGTAACACATTTGACCATATCAAATCGCATGAAGGAACTTCTCTGGCTACTAATGACTCTAGAATTCCTGAGGCCTGGAAGTTTGGAGCCAAAATTTTCCAAGCCTCCCTGGCTGTAGAAGAGGGTTTTGTGAATGAAAGCATCCCCCAAACCCATGTCAGTCTGACAGGGCCCAACATGTAACCAGACTCCATGTGTGTGATATGTTCTCCGTTCCCCCCAACCCTTCACACAGACCCACACAAACTCTTTGAAGCCGTTTGAAGCTGTGTAATAGAAAGGCACAAACCCTTCCCTCTTCATTCCCAGAGACTCTGCGGCTCGCCTTTTAGGAGTCCTCAGAGACAACTTCTGGAGTCTAGACTTGTTGGACTTCCTTGACCCTCGCTGCCAGATTGTATGTGTGCGTGACGAAGTTTGTCTCCGTATGTTGTGTGTGTGTTTATCACCGTGTTTGTGTGTTCGCCAAGTGCATCCCTTGTGTGTTGTGTGCTGATTTTTACACGCTGGCTGTGGTGGTTCATTCATTTCCCTGGGTTCGCTCTCTTCCCTTTATCCAGGAAGCACCGCTACGTTTTCCCGATCAGCCAAAGTGCTTTTATTGACTTGTGGGATGCCACATGTGTGCCTGGTCTGTGTTATTAAGAAACACGGCCCCTTACTCACAAACACACACTCACTCATACCATTCCTCAGAAAACTGGGTCTCGAAGGGGAAACTAACATCCGCTAAAACAAGGCACTAACTCATGCAAGTACGATCGCATGTGACAGGAGGTGTCTGTGTTTTTCATTCCATGCTGCTGTTTCTTTTTAAAGATGTGAAGTCTCTCTTTTCTGTGTCCTGCTCTCCACAGGATGGATCCACGGGGCAATCTGGAATCGTTCTGGAAGGAACTTCCGTTTCCATTCAGGAGCTAGAGCGAACAATAGAAGAATTACTTGTGAAAATATCAGATATGGAAAAAGACAATGTTTTGGATGGCACAAAGCTTGGAACAAGGGATCGAGAAGTGGGTAGTTTCAATCAAACTATTAAACAGACTAAAGTAAATGAACAACGAGTTAATTCAGCCATTCAGACCTCACCTGTCGAGGAAGCCTTTAAACTTCCAGTGCCTTTATCAGACCAATCACATACTCCCAAATTAAGTGACACCGCTACTTCACCATTTGGTTTGCCCTATACCTGTAGCTGCCAAAGAACACAGGAAATCCCACCCCCTGCACCACCACTACTTCCTGTTGTTTCAGGTTTCCCGACACCTTCAAAACAAGATGCATCAATACCTCCACCTCCTCCACCTCCACTCCCAGATACGACTCAGCTCCATCTGCCTTTCCCAGGTACGACTCCAACCCCTCCACCTCCACTTCTAGGTATGGCTCCTCCCCATCTGCCACTCACGGGTACAGCTTCTTCCTCTCCACAACCTCCACTCCAATGTATGGCTCTGCCCCCTCCACCGCCTCCGCTTCCAGATATTGTTCCACCACTTGCACCTGTGGGCATGGCTCCACCTCCTCCTCCACTCCCAGGCATGGCTCCACCCCCTCCACCTCCACTCCCAGGTATGGCCCCACCCCCTCCTCCTCCACCACCTCCTGGCTGTGGACCTCCACCTCCTCCTCCTCCACCTCCTGGCTGTGGACCCCCACCACCCCCTCCTCCACCTGGTTTTGGGCCACCACCACCCTTCGGTCCCCCTCCACTCTTCATGGGGTTGGTGCCGTCTAGCATGGCTCAGGACTCCATCCCCCTGAAGGCTGTCATCGAGCCTCCACGGCCCATGAAACCACTCTACTGGACACGGATTCAGCTACATGCCAAAAAGTAATCACATGCCTCGTTGATTGAATGCTGCATGTTTTTGCAATGCGTATACTGAATGCTTGTTTCACCTTATTTAAATTCAGCCAAGGCTTGATTATGATCACACATGCGATAAGGCAAACTGATATTTTTATTTCCCTCGCTCATAGGGATGCCAAAAGTGCCCTGGTGTGGGAAAAGGTTCAAGAGCCATCAGTAGATTTTGACGAATTTGTGGAGCTGTTTGCCAAAAGCGCAGTCAAGGAAAAGAAGAAACCTATCTCAGATACCATAACAAAATCAAAGGCCAAACAGGTAAGAGGACTTTACTATACTCCCATTGATTAAAAACACTGGGTCCAGGACATTTTTGGATGTCCCAACAAGTAGTGGACCGTAGTAGGCCCCCCTCGTCTCAGCTCCCAGGACAACATTCCTGGTTGTCTTTCCTTGAAGATAACTCTGCCCAGGCTCCCACCTCACCACACACAAAACCATTAACACTGATTTCACATGCACAGCTTGTGAATCAGAGCCTTACAGACATTCAGTAAATGTTATAAGATTTACTTAATGTTCCCTCAACCAAAGTGTGACTATGAGGCTCTTTGATAAGATTGTTTACCATCAGAAACAACCCAGGCATCTACCACATCTGAAGCTAATCTCGCTCTCTCTCTTCCTCTCTGGCAGTGGTGTGAAAATTAGTCACTGGTGAGAGTTTTGTGGTTCCTTTGTCTGGAGTCATGCAGATTTCTGATAACAACCCACTGCTACACAACAAGCACATTACAAACTGCATCACACAAACTAATGTAATTGTCTTGCAGCTGTGTTCTTCAACTATGAATTATGTACGGATATTCTGTGCAGTAATCAAGAAGATCATTAAATTTTTTCTTAAGAATTAAATACATTTATTCAGCAAGGATGCATTAACTTGATCAAAAAGACATTAATAATGTTCAAATAAATGCTGTTCTTTTGAACTTTCTATTCATCAAAGTATTCTGAAAAGAAAGTATCACGGTTTCCACAGAAATATTAAGCAGCACAACTGTTTTCAACATTATTAATAATAGGAAATGTTTCTTGAGCAACAAATCAGCATATTAAAATGATTTCAAACGGAACATGTGACATTGAAAACTGAAGTGATGGCTACTGAAAATTCACAGGAATAAATTACATTTTCAAATATTTAGAAATAAAAAACAGTTATTTTAAATTGTAATAATATTTCATAATATTACTGTTTTTACTGTATTTTTGATCAAATAAATGCAGCCTTGGTGAACATCAGACTTTGAACTGTCTTATATGTACAGTATATATATTTATGTGTACCATCATAACACCATGTTTTTGGAATATTTAGCATGGTGATACCACGTTTTTTCAGACATTTACCATGGCAATACCAACCTCTGGGGGGGGGGGAGGTTTTAATATGAACACATTTTGAGAATACACAGTGGTATTGTCTACAAATAGGATAAATAACAAACTGGATTTTTTTTAACATGCAAATATTGAGAAATTCTGAGACTTTTGAAAGTTTTCTGTGTACCATGGCAATACCAACCTCTGGAGGAAAAAAAGTTTTAATATGAACACGTTTTGAAAATACACAGTGGTATTGTCTACAAATAGGATAAATAACAAGCTGGATGTTTTACCATGTAAATATTGAGAAATTCTAAGACTTTTGAAAGTTTTCTGTTTGCTCCCTCTCTCTTTCTCTCTCTGGTCTGTAAGATATGAGGAATGGGGGGGGGTCTGTATTGAGTTAAAACCCACAACCCTCAAACCACCAGCCAACCCAGCGACTCCAGTCAGCCTAGTGTGGTCATGCCACACTTTATATGTGTGTGTGTAAGAGAAAGAGAGAGAGAGTGTGTGTGTGTGTGTGTGTGTGTGTGTGTGTGTGTGTATGCATTAGATAATCTCTTCAGCATTATTCACAGAACAGTTGCTTTAGGCTTACAGTTCGCACAGATCAGTCAAAATTAAAGTGCTAATATAATCAAATCCCCTTATAATTAATGTGCATTAGATGTATAAATTAAAAACAACTGCCCACAGCTCCATTTGAGCCCACATAATCATGTTAATTTTATGAATCATATTCATTTTACGGCCCATTGCTCTGGTAGTAGTTATCTGGTCCTTTAGCTAGTTACTGTACGACCGCCGAACCGCCATCCTCCCTCATACAGCGACATCCACGCTTCCCACCGAAATGGTGCTAAAGTATGGAATCAATTCTCATTGGTCGGTAAGCGTCTGGTTTGAGATCCAGCTCATCACAAGCATTAGTGTGTTTCCCACATCATTAACGTAGCACAGCACTCTGCAGTCGCGCTGTGTTTAGTGGTCATGAGCCCTGTGGAGATAATGAGAGCCAGTGGATAATGATCACACTTGGCCGCCATCACGCTTTCAAGTGTGGCCTGTACTAGAAGGTTTTCACGACTTCAAATTCTTTCCAACAATCAGAATTAGCATGTTGTTAACAGGCAGTCGTGAAAGAAGATATGTTTGCGAGCGCACTCAATGTATATGAGGAAAACTACAGGAAAACTAGTAGAGTAGTTTTTTTATCAAGTATTTTTATCTTGTTTTTTAGTATAAATATCACAACCTCTAAACATTCATAAATCAAGATACATTTACTTGAGTAGTAAAATGACTTAAGGTATTAAATCTTGTTTTCTAAAAAAAAAAAATAATTAAGTCAGTTTAAAAAGATTATTTTTCTTAACCCACTGACAAAGCATAAACTTGCTTGTTTTTTTTTTTCAGAAAGCAAGACTTAATATCTTGTATTTTGATTTTTTTATATATATATTTAATACAAAAAAGGCAAAAAATAAAGAACTTTTTTTTTTTTTTGCAGTATGAAAAGACTATTATGTGAGGTATCCCATGCACCCACACACAACTTAATTGGAAATGTCTGATTTGAAGGGGCTGTCTGAAAGTGTCAAAATCTAACTTGGTTTAATATGACTAGACAGGTCTGTCATTTGCATAATTACTGTGGTGTTCCTTGGCAGAGCCAGAAACTGGAGAAAGTAAAGTTATTTTGATATATGTGGATGCTACGCATGAAAGAATGAGAGACGAAGACCTCTCCATAATACCATATGAGGAAACAGTCATAAATACTCATATTTTGGCTTTGTTTTTGGCTTCCTTATTAGGCCAAAGTACCTCTGTGTGCTATTCAATTTATGAGGGCAGCTAGATGAAATACTGTTTATGTATTTTTGTCACCAGCAATAATATTCAGGGTAAACTGCGTTTAAATAATACTAAGTATAAAGTGGCTGATGTTTTATAACAGTAACAAAATATACCTTCTCTCTCTCGCTCTCTCTCTCTCTCTCTCTCTCTCTGTCTCTCTCAGGTTGTCAAGCTGCTGAGTAACAAACGTTCTCAAGCGGTGGGGATTCTGATGTCCAGTCTTCATTTAGATATGAAAGATATTCAGAATGGTGAGCTTATTAATTAAATTATTATTTTTGTTTGTTAGAGTCTTGATAGTGTGTGTTCGTAGCTATACTTATGAGACCCACTACTCCTCTGAGAGATTCTGCTCAGCCTCCTGTCAGCATGTGACCTCTCTAAGAGGGGAAATAGGATGCCACAGCCAATTAAGAGTCATTGTTCGGTGCTGTTTATACAGTTACTGATTGTGTTTGAAAGCTGGAGGGAGTGTGGTTGGTTGCGTTTCAGGGTTCAAGAATAGGTTGATACTGTAGATCTTAATGGATGTGATGATTAGAGCCGCATCATCTTTCTTGTTGTGTTTTGTTCTTTTCCTATAGTTACTGTTTTACTCTGCTTTTGCATAAAGCCTCAATGTCCTTTTTCTCTGCTGAAGATATTTCCTCATCTGTCTCTGGGGTCTTTTTCTCTCTAATTTGTCTCTGTCTATCCCTCTTATTGCTGTCATCACTCTACCTGCTCATTCATCCCCTTGAATCGAGTATAAAGGAAATAATGCCTTTTTAATAATTTCTTCTCATCACAGGTTTTGGAATGTTAAACCTGTCTCTCAGCACCTAGAGCTATCTAGAACTCTTGATTGTGGATTTTGTTAGTTGGCGAAGGAGTCACTGTAATAGAATGCATAGGGAAAAGCCAAAACACTGCGATACCTACAGTAATTGGTAAAAGTAGAAACATTTTCAGAAGAGTTTATTATATCGCATATATATCTTCAGATTGTCTACACACATCTTTTGTCCCTTTTTCATCCATATATCTCAGATGACCTGTGTGTTTCTTGAGTTAAATTAAATAAACTTACTTGTAAAAAGCAAAAAGAGTAAATGATGTTAGTCATTCACTCAATTGATTCATTGGTAACGCTTTAGATTACAACCCGCAAAGAACTACGTACGTATACTGAATTTACGGTGTATGTTTCTGTAATTATAGTGTACCTATAAAGAACGTACGTGTAGGTATAAGGGAACAATGTGTTACGTTTGGGTAATAAGGGGGCAACAACCAGATATGCAACCTGCAAAGAACTGCGCAAGTAAACTGAAGTTACAGCGTAACTTTTTTGTAGTTATAGTGTACCTATTCAGTACCTCCGTGTAGGTATAAGGGCATAATATGCGAAGTTTGGGAAATAAAGGGGTAACAACCTGTAAAATTACAAATCATTTATACTGTAAGTATTTTGAAACTAAGTGGTACCTATTCTAATATTACGTGGTATGTATGGCCTAAACAACAATCTTATGTTTGGGAATGATTTAGAAAGACGATATATACTTTTTATAATTTTATATTGGTATTCTATTATAGGCCTATAGGTATTTTTTAACCATGGGGTACACATTCTATTATTAAAGGATGGACATGACGGAGATTACTGAACAACAAAACTGGACATCTAGTGAAATGAGTTAACGAGTTTCTGCTATGATTTATAATTCACGAGTCTACTTACCTTATGAAAGCTTATTCGTCGATTTCAGCAACTTCACACCAGCAACTTCTCAACACCACTATCACCAAATAACGTTGCATGATATACCATCAAGGTTCAACGCAGCTTAAAACAAGTTTACCTCTTTCCAGCTGTTCGCAGTTGTGAGAACATACTCGGACAAAACCCTCCAGTTTTAAAAGAACACATTCCAGTCAGTTTCAAAAATCTCTCTCCTCTTCGTTTCGATTAGTTTTCTTGTATTTTCTACACATATTCCTGTCATGAGCGCTGCAAACAGGATAGACTCGTCTCATGTGCCATTCCAGCTGTTTCAAGTTCCGCTGTAAATACTGTTTACTTACGCAGTACATTGCGGGTTGTAATCTAAAGCTTTACCGATTCATTCAAACACACTGATTCGTTCAGGAATTAAACTAGTCTTTATGAGTGAGTCACTGAGTCTTTTATTCAAAAGATTCATTGTGATTCACTGATTTGTTGTTCAATTCGATTTCAGAGCAAACATGGACCCAAAAAATGGTTACTTATTAGTACTGTTCTAGGATGGAAAAATTGAGAATTCCTCAACAATATATTTTAGCAGTGTTTATTTTTAATCATTCATTAGTTAACAAGATCCAGAAACTTAAGAAAGCAAAGCTATTTTGATATACAGTATATGTGGATTTTATGCATGAAATAAACGTGAAGGAGACCTCTCCATATATTATATTATATTATATTATATTTATTATATTATATTTATTATATTATATTATATTATATTATATTATATTGTGATAATTTTACAGGTTACATTCATGAGCCAGTAGTTGGCAACAAATTACAGATTAGATGAGTGAATCACTTTATTAGTGAGTCACTGAATCCTTTACTCAAAGGATTTGTTGTGATTCATTGATTCATTCAGGAACACCACTGCCATGTTGTTTGATTCAGTTTGATTTCTTAGAAAAATGGAACCAAAAAATATTATTTTTTTAGTATCAGGATGGATAAATAGTGTATTCTTCAGCAGTTTATTTGTAGCATTGTGTACTTTTTAGCCATTCATTGGTTAACAGGCGGCAGACAAGCTGTATTCTGTTTTCTTTCAGTAACATTTTTTTCATGCATAATTTCCCTCCGGTCTAATCCACTGTAACAACAATCCTTTGTTAAATTCTATTTTTCTTTCTTCATTTTAATGAATCAGCAAAGCTGGATGCAGTTTTAAAAACCACATCACATTATGTGAACGGATACCTAATATTACACACATGCACACACATCCTCAGTTAGACTTTAAACTGCCGGCATTTGAAGACATTTTTACTGGCTCTTTGAGAATTTATGGGCACAGTCCCCATCTATTATGCAGCTCAGTACCCACAATTCAGCACTGGTTGAGTCTCATTGGGTCTCGCTGCAATTCCGCCCATTGCAGAGGCCAGTATATTTGGCCAGAGTAAACCACCAAATAGAAACAAACAGTTTCTCTGACAGAGCTATTTACCCAGAATCAATACATTCCTCAACATCACGCTTCACCACACTGACCTGGATCAGGCCCTTTGAGGAACTAGGAAAGAATTTCGTGAATTGGTTTAATTTCAGAGTTTAAAGGTTCATGCAAAGTTATGAGGCATTTATTACAGTTAGTAGAGAAGATGTTGCCTGCCTGTCTCTCTTTTCTTTCATTATTCAATTATCAGCCAGCAAACAACATTAAAAACACTCTTCTCAAGATTATTAAGGAAACTAAACCTAATCTAGTGCAACTCCTTGGTGGATTCTCACTGAATCGCTCCCTTTGTGTCAACTTTCTTGTTTCCCTCAGCTGGTTTTCATAAGATCTCATGTTTGAGCCTGAAAAACACTCCTACATGATTGACTAGAGCACAGGCAGCTCTTGCACAAACACACTTGGTGACAGGCCTTTGATTTCTACCCATAACAGTCTCAAAGTTTCACAAGTCAGCTCAGAGTTTGTGCGTGTGTGAGATTGGATTCATCGGCGTGTGACGCCGACCCCCTCCGGACGATTTGTTTGTTATGTTTCTTCAGTGACTCACACTCAGTTGTTCTGCAGCGCCGTCTGTTTGGGTCTTCTGAACTGTCACAGGACATTGTTTTGTGGAAACATTCTGAATCATGGCAGCGATCACAAAGAAAGCAAGCAGAAAACATATGTGCACAATCCCGTTCTAAAATAAAATCCTTCCTTCTCTTCTCATTGTTAGCCAAACATTGTGCTGTTTTATCCTTAGCAGTGTTTAGAGAGAGAAGGTGGTGTGTGTCCATACAGCTGAGGAATTGCAAACATGGTAGCATTCGTTGTGTATTTTCTTTTGTCTGGTTGTGTTCGTTTGGAAGATAGTAATTATGGATGCTTGGCACGAACTGAACATTGTAAACCTGCTAGGAACTATGAAACTGCTTGGAGAAAAATGTTTGGCCTATGAAATATGTAACAAGAGCAGTTACAGAAATGTAGTGCAGTTCAAACCTGATCCATAAGCTACCATTTTTCACTTAACCCAAGGTTGCTTCAGGGGAATTCCTCCTGTAATAGGTGTTATTTGGATAAAAGTGTCATCTAAATGATGAGCTATATAACAGTAAGAGTGAGTGAATTTCAGGTGATTATAGTCATTGGGGTGTAAGACGTATAATTGCGTTTATTGTTTCAGAAATGTGAGAATCTTTACTCAGACACTCCTACTATAATTTCCACTGAGCCTTTCTGTTTATATCAAAACAAAAGATCTCTGAATGAGCTTAGATATTATTATTATTATTATTATTATTATTATTATTATTATGTGTGCTGCTCACATTAAGTTGTTCTGCAGTGCATGATATATGATATGATATGATATATGACATGATATGATTTGATATTTTTAAATTACTATCAAATTTCTTTTTAATGCTAAACACATCTTTTGAATTCAAATGTCCGTTTTATAATAATATAAAGAATAATCAACAACAACAATAATAATAATAATAATTAATGTTGACAAACAAATGCTTAACACATATTTAGAACAAATGTCTTTATAATAATAATAATTATATGAAATACATTATTATTATTATTATCAAATCATATAAAATATTTATTATTATTATTATTATTATTATTATTATTAAAATTTCTATTTATTATTGACGAACAAATGCTAAACAGATCTAACTTGAGCTCAATGTCCGCTACATACAAAGTCAAAAAATTCAATGCAAACAACACATTAAAATATGTAATTCTTTGGTATCTCTAATGCAGAGACTATAACTAGCCATACAGTATGAAAACTTTGTTGTGCTGATTGCTTTTTTTCTACAAACTTTTGAAGCTTTCAAAACGGTCTCTCCCTCAGATTAAAGCAAGCCCACCACACTAAACTACTTGCATCAGTTATTTGGGGAAGCACAGAGCACATCCCTGGACATCAAGAGACAAATTCTTTGTTTGTAGACTTTGTTGTGGGGGTGTGGGGATTACGCTGTTGTTGTTTGTGTATGTGGTGATTGGGGTGTCGATCTGGTGGGATGCTGTTGTCAGGTTGATGACAGGTTAAATTACCCAGTCATAGATCGTGCATACTTTTTTCACTCTCTTTCTCTCTCGCTCTGTCATGTGTTTCTTCTCCCCATCTCTTTTAAGGCTGTAGTTGCTCTCTTTGATATCTTTCTTCCATAACAGGAGTAATGCTTTGCTGTCTGTCTCCATTTTCTGTCTGTGCATTGGCAAGATATGGATGTTTTTGTTATTCTTTCTTGTGCGGTTTATGGAACGCGCCAATGATCAATTTCTCAATTCCCCAAATGACTGAACACAAAAAAGTTATCCCATAATAGCTCTATTTAGCACAGAAAAAGTGTTCAGTCTAGCCAGCTCAATAACAGGCCTGCTAGAGATTCAAATGCTTTTATTATGTAAAAGCAAATAAATGTTTGGTGCTGAGTAAACTTTTTTTTTTTTTGATTGTTAGATTATATGATCACCCATGCCCAAGATTAAAGACTTTTTTTTTTTTACTCTTTGAACAGTTAGTTTGTATTGTCCTGTGTGTTACTATTGAACCATGTAAGTTTAAATTGTATTTTTTCACAAGAAGTTTTACTGTTCATGAAAGAAGTCTCTCATGCTCACTAAGGCTGCATTTATTTAATCAAAAATACAGTAAAATGACTGTATAGTTTATTATAATTTTAAATAACTGTTTTCAGTTTTTCTGTATTTTAGAATGTAATTTATTTCTGTGATGGATGAATTTTTAGTTGCCATAACTCTAGTCTTGAGTGTCACGTGATCCTTCAGAAATCTTTCTAATATGCTGATTTGGGGCTCAAGAAACATATAAAACGTATTAGCAATGTTGCAAACAGTTGTGCTGCTTAATATTTTTTTTAATGGAAACCATGACACATTTTTTTTTTTCAGGTTTCTTCGATGGGAAAAGAACAGCATTTATTTGAGATAGACATTTTTGTAACATTAAAAATGTCTTCACTGTCACTTTTCATAAATTTAATTCATCCTTGCTGAATAAAAGTATTTATTTGTATATATATACTTTTTTAATATTTTTTATTAAATTAAAACAAATATATAAAACTATATTATTAAGTAAATTAAGATATTATTTAATATATAAAATGTAAACTTGTTTTGATTTATGGGCACCTTATCATTTTGATTATGAATTCATGAAAGTATGAATTACTATTAGTTTGGTATTATTGGAAAAATGTGATTTGGCATTTTACTCCTTTGGAAAATATATTATTTCAAATTCCCAGACAATTGGCAAGTGGTAGGCCTACTCATAGTTTTTCTCAGCAGCAGGGACTTCAGTTAAAATCTTTGCCTGAGAAATCATTTGAACAGATCTTGAGTCCTGATTGGTCGATCATTGATGGATTTTTCTTCTCTCTTTCTCTGTCTGACAGCCATCTTGAACATGGACTGCACCGTGGTGGATCTGGAGACGCTCCAGGCGCTGTATGAAAACGTAAGTGTCACAACATGACAAGACGTGACAGTCCAGATAAGCAAATGTGATGAATCCTGACATTTCTTATGAAGCATGAATTCCATAAGTGATCATTTATCATATCATTAAACTCTTAAACCTCTCAGAACTGGACAGGATATACCCTAAGATCTTGGAGCTTTGCTTTGACGCGGTCCGCTCCAAAAGAGAGCCGCGGAAATGTGTGTTAAATACCAAAACAAACATGCAGGCCACAAATGCCGCTGGAATGAGTAAGGTTTACCATGGAGCCGGGGTGCGTGTCACTGTCTGAGGGAAAGAGAGAGAGGAACAAGACGACTGTATAAGACAGACATGCAGACATGGAACTGACGACAGACAGGAAGACAAATGAAGAGGATGAAGTTTCCCCCTCAAAGAATGAAAAGAGGACAGTTCAAAAAAAGAAGCTTTGAGATTTGTAGCTTATGTAACTTATTGGCAGTTATAGACTACGTCAGTTTGACGTGGCAACATAAATCAAACCTCTTTCTTGGAAGATCTTTGACTCACTTTTAGACAATTGGCTGCTATTTTCTTTCATTCTTTAAGTGTGTGGGTGCTGATGAGTTTGCACATTATGATCGCCATGTGCATTGCAGCAACAGTCATAAATCTTGCTGTCAGCACTAGAGCTCCTTTACATGTTTTCTGTATGCGAGTGTGTGCCGCACGTCATTATGATGAGATAAAGACAGGGCATCATAGCCACACATCATCTTAAGACCTACAAGATGCCAGAACGTTCCTCACAGGTCTGATAATTATTTCAAAACACTTCATATGTTGGCACTTTTCTTGTGATTTTGCTCCATGTATCATTTTGAGAATATGTAAAATTTTATAATATCTTTCATATTTATATATAGTTGTTCATGAAACTGATTAAAAAGAATAATTTATATTTACAATCAAAATACAAAATATGAATATTATACAAAAGTGCAGTTGTTGTATTTAAAGCCACACTGTTTTTTTTTTGTTTTTTTTCAGAATAACTATATGAACAGATACACTCTGATAAACCTGTGATTTGATTTATTTTTTAGAGGTGTAGGGACAGATTTTGCGGGAAACTGCATACAAACATCGTTCACCTGTGTGTGTCACATCTGTAAAGAGAGAAAAGTAGCTCTGGCTGTGTGTCGCATGAAGCTAAAGTTTGTCACAACAAATGGCAAAAATTGACCATTAATTATTTAGAGCGGTAGATCTCCAGTAATCATCGGTTGTAAAAACAGAAAAAAACAAACAAACAAAAAAACATTATTTTTCCAACCGCTGTCCGAACCACATACATTCGCGCAGAGCCGAATCACAACCAAAACAATGTTCTTCCGCAAGATGCATGCAGTTTTATTTTTCAACCACTAGAGGGCCAAAAGTCACATAGCCTCCTGACTACCAGGAAAAAACAGTTTTGTGAATTTAGTATTTTGACATGTCATTACATTGTTTAGAGCATAAGAAAAAATTTTTTTTCTCTATTCATTTGTTGTGTCTCCCAAAATGTGTAATAAACATGCATGCAGGCCACAAACACCGCTGTTATAAAGTAGTCCTAGTGTCCTCTACAGTGGACAAG